GTGTGTGTGAGTACAGGCACAGGTGTGCCCAGGTATGTATGATTGCCAGCACAGGTGTGCCCAGATGTGAGTGAGCACCCGCCCACGTGTGTGTAAGTACAGGCACAGGTGTGCCCAGGTGTGAATGAGCACCTGCCCAGGTGTGTGTGTCAGTACAGGTGTGCCCAGGTGTGTGTGAGCACCTGCCCAGGTGTGCCCAGGTGTGCCCAGATGTGAGTGAACACCCTCCCACATGTGAGTGAGTACAGGCACAGGTGTGCCCAGGTATGTATGATTGCCAGCACAGGTGTGCCCAGGTGTGAGTGAGCACCTGCCCAGGTGTGTGTGAGTGCCAGTACAGGTGTGCCCAGGTGTGTGTGAGCACCTGCCAGGTGTGCCCAGGTGTGCCCAGGTGTGAATGAGCACCTACCCAGGTGTGTGTGTCAGTACAGGTGTGCCCAGGTGTGTGCCCCCGTATCTCCACTGTAAAGCCCCTGTGCCCACTGTGTCCCCTCATGTCCCTGCAGGTGGCACGGGTGACCGTGTGGAGGTGCCACATCCCTGTGCCCACCTTGTACCCATACTGTACCCACAGGTGCCCGGGGTGGCCGTGTGGAGGTGCCACATCCCTGTACAGCCCCTATATCCCTCCTGTACCCACTTCATGTCCCCTCCTGTCCCTGCAGGTGCCAGGGCTGGGCACGTGGAGGTGTCACATCCCTGTACCCACCCTTATGTCCCCTCCTGTCCCTGCAGGTGCCAGGGGTGACCGTGTGGAGGTGCCACATCCCTGTACCCACCTCATCTCCCCCCTCCTGTCCCCGCAGGTGCCAGGGCTGGGCGCGTGGAGGTGCCACATCCCTGTGTTCCCCCTGTACCCATCCTGTCCCCTCCTGTCCCCACAGGTGCCAGGGGTGGGCACGTGGAGGTGCCACATCCCTGTACCCACCTTGTACCCATACTGTACCCACCCTGTGTCCCCCCCTGTACCCACCCTGTCCCCTCCTCTCCCCACAGGTGCCAGGGGTGGGCGTGTGGAGGTGTCACATCCCTGTACCCACCGTGTGTCCCCTCCTGTCCCCTCAGGTGCCAGGGCTGGGCGGGTGGAGGTGCCACATCCCTGTGTTCCCCCTGTACCCACCCTGTCCCCCTCCTGTCCCCGCAGGTGCCAGGGCTGGGCGGGTGGAGGTGCCCCGCAGCGTGACGGCGGTGCTGGGGCAGGACGTGGTGCTGCCGTGCCGGTACCGGGCGCAGGAGCAGGAGCAGGTGGTGCAGGTGACGTGGCTGAAGCGTGGCACGGGGGGCGCGGTGCCCGCCGAGGTGGCCGTGCTGAACCCGCAGCACGGCGAGCACGTGCAGGAGCCCTTCGCCGGGCGGGTGCTGCGCCACGGGCACGGTGCCCTCGAGGACGGGGCCATCGTGCTGCGGAACGCCGTGCAGGGCGACGAGGGCGACTACGAGTGCCACCTCATCACCTTCCCCATGGGCAGCTTCGAGGGGCGCCTCACCCTCAGGGTGCTGGGTGAGGGCGCGGGGGGCAACGGGGAGGGGGGGGTGGGTAGGGGGGGGGGGGCAGTGGGCATGGGGTGGTGGGTGTAGGGTGGGGGGTGTGAGGCAGCAGGGACAGGGAGATGGGCAATGGGCACCGGGTGGTGGGAAAGAGGTAGAAACCATGGGGTGGTGGGTACAGGGAGGTGGGCAATGGGCACGGGG